CTGAGAACATGAGAAGCGTGGATATACCATATACTAAATGGCCCTGAGCAGAGGAATAACATGATCTGACCTGCATTTTAAAAGGATCACCATGGTTGCTGTGGGTAATGTGGACTGGAAGGTACAGGGTGAAATAAGAGAGACCGATTAATAGCTATTGCAATAACCCAGATGAGACACAATGTGATTTAGACTAGAGTCCTAAGGATGAAAGTGGTGATAAGTGATCTGTTTTTTTGCTTTATGTTTTTTTGTTATTTTGAAAGTAGAGACTCGGGATTGGTTAATGATATTGTACATAGGGTATACAAGAGAAAGAATAGTAAAGAATTATTTTATACTGAGGGGCAGGAAGAATGGAGTAGCCTTTTATCAAAGTTGAGAGTCTGTGGAAAGAATCACAGATTTTATGAGTTAAAATCAGGAGTTCATTTTGGATATACTAAGATTTACATACCTAGGACATATATTCACCTGGAGATTATGAGAAAGTCTCTGCCTAGAATTCTGGAGTCCAATTCTGGAGAAGTCTGCACCACAAAAAATAATGTAGAGTATCTAGAGAATAAATGTTATTTAAAACCATGAGAGTGCATGAATGACCTAGTGAATGAGAAGTTATGGAGAAGAAAAAAGATAAAAGGTTGGCCCTGCAACAGTCACGAACAGTCAGGAAGATGAGGAACTTTCAGAGACTGACACAGATGCAGTGGCCCGTGAGGTAGAAGGCAAGATTAAGAAAGTGTTCTAAATGGCAAACAACAATTTCTCAATACCATGTGACACTGATTCTTTGATTATATCAGATAATACTGGCTGTATTCACAAGACTGAAACCCAAAATAGTTGAATTATAAGAAGGCATCCATCTTGGAGTAGCATAACTGGGAACATTCTCTTGAGAGTTGGACTGTAATGTGTGCTTCACTGTTCAGTCTTCCTAAGCTACAGCAACTCTGTCTAAATTTGGCTTTGACCCTTCTTTCATTTCAAATCCTTGTATTAGCTAAAAGCAAGTTTTTATTCCCCATCTCTGCCACCCATGTAGCAGGGCAAAACCTGTAATTCCCAGGAGACAAAGAACAGAAATAAAAATTCTGGTTCATAAGTTAATAAACAACCAATTGTGATGTTAAAGGCTAAATACATTTAGACATGTGTGGTCACATTGCTTTATGTTTGTCAATCTCATTTTATATAACCTGGACCAACAAAATCAACAAGAGGGGAAGCACACAGATATAAGGTCAGTTCAAGGGTTCAACAAAATGCTCAAAATGATAGAATCAGCAGATAAAATACTTCACAGGTTGCCAAGATACCTTAATCTGGGAAAAGAATCAGAATTAAGTTTTTGTTAAGAGGTTTATCGTTCCCTATCCTGATCCTTTGATAGAGATAGTCTATAGGAATCTTAGCTTTGCAATTATATGGTTGGAGTAATTGGGAAAAAGTTTAGAAAAAGGGTTTAAACAAGAAAGATAATAGCTTAAGAATTTGAGAAGTCACTTGGGGAGAGCTGGGTCATCTTGAAATTGCTTTAGGCAAGTTTAAGCTGTTTAGAAGATTTTTCCCTTTGTAAAGGAATAAAAAGTAAGGAATAATATTCTTATGTGTGCTTTTGTTCCTGTTGACTAATATCATTGAGTAAAGCAATCATAAAATCCATTTATTTAAGAAAAAAATTAGTAAATCTTGCTTTTATTTGTCCTTTGTGAAGAATTCTGTTTTTACACATTGTACATACCACTATTTACTTCAGGCCATGTAATTTACTGTTTCCTTGGTAAAGAAAAAATACGTCATTTCAATCCTTAATCATTCAAATAGATACCACATTGCAGATTTTGAAAAAATTTTTGTAAATTTATGTTTCTATATACCCCTCTTAAAAAAGTTATACAACAAAGAGTTATCAGGTGTCCTTTTTTGATTCAGTTATTTATAACTACCTGTGTTTGCTAGTAAGTTATTCTCTGTCCCTCAATAGATGAGAAGGTGGGTGTGTGTTTCTTTGTAAACCATTGATAACAAATTGCAGACATGTTGACATTTTATCTCTAATACTTCAATGTCTATTTCTTAATAACATGAGCATTCTCATGCATAATCACAGCACAGTTATCAAAATCAAGATCTTTAACATATATACAATAATATCCCCAAATTCATAGTCCATATTCAAGGTATGTCAATTGTGCCAAAAATATGCAATATATGATTAAGCTGTTACCAATCCAGAATTCATTTCAGGATGACACATTACCTTTTAATCTCCTTTTCCTCTTTTGGATCTCCTTTCATCTGGAATATTTTCCCAGACTTTGTCATATGATGTTGACATTTTGGAAAGAGTACAGGCCATGGTATTTAATAATGATGGAGAGATGTGTATGAAATGTAAATGGATGTGTATGGGTCTACCCTCTCTTTATTCACTGAGAGGATTTAGAAGTAATGACACCTCCCTAGCCATGTGCACGCCTGATATCCAGAACTTGGTTTCTAAATACCACTTCCCACTGATCGGAACCTGGGTTTTCTGGAGAAATGGCTGTTTACTTCCCTGGAGCATATATTCTGCCAGAAGCAAAAATAAGAAGAAGAAATTATTAAATTATGTAAGTAATTATAGATTGTGAGAGGTGCTAAAATGAAATATAGGTAATACATGAAAAGAGAGATCAACTTTTGTTATGGTGGTTAGGGAAAGACTCTTTGAATAAGCTTTATTTAAGCTAAGATTCAGAGAGAAAAAAGGGGGCAGCCATGTGAAGAAAGTGGAGAAGAGAATTAGCATAAGGAATAGAAAGTTAAAAGACTCTGATGTCAAAATGGTTTAGTTTGCTCATAGATGAGAGGATAGCACTGTGACTGGAGTCTAGTTCTGGGTAATGTTGGTGGGGATGGCCAGAGAGAATGTGGATATGATGTCACATCGGGTTGGAAAGACAGAAACAAGCTATTGAACCTATCAATTTCGATTATATTCTGGGTGGAATGGGAAAGTCTCAGGAAGATTTAACATGGATAGCGACATGATGTGACTTATGCATTTAAAAGATCATTCTGGCTGCTTTGTGAAAAATAAATTAGAAGAGATTTGAGAATGAAAGCAGAGAGAGGTGATAAAAGACTATTATAAAATCCTAGGCAGAAATAATGGTGGCCTGTACAAGGGTGGTGACAGTAGAGATAAAAATATGTGATGTGGATACATTCAGATTATATATTGGAGTTACAAACACCAGGATTAATGTTAGATTAAATGTGTGATGTGGCTGAGGAAAAAGGAAACTCAAAGGAAAATTTCCAGGTTTCTATCTTGGCATCAAGCTTAGAGAAGAAAACCAACAGTTCCATTTTGTTGATTGAGTATGTTTGAAATGAGTTTTTGATTGGAGTGTGTTGAATGGAGTGTGTTTGAAATGAGTTTTGGAAACTGAGTACATAATATTACATAAATAGGATAATGTACAACAATTTAAATGTCCTATTGGATGTTCTCACCTTTTTATGAGATTAGGATTCAATACTTAAATGAGAATATCTACATCATTTCATCAAAAATGAAAAGTTAAAGAAAACCTTGATTATCTTCAGATTTTCTGGGAATTTAAACAAGACTATGTGTGCTTGGAAAGACAAAATACAGAGATTACCTACAATGACTTAAGGGGAAAATTGCAAGAAAAATTAATTTTCTAAGATAGTTTGAAGCCACAGTTGAATAAAGAAGAATGTAAGTTATGAACATCAGAAATAATTTTCTGGGCAAGAATAACTCAAATCAGAATGTCTTTTAAAGGCTTATGAAAGCGCTATCAACTGAGACACTAAAAATGAGAATTTAGAAAGCCCAGTTTAAAAGGAAGAAAAATATATTGCAAAGGAGATGAAATAAATGTTCAAATAATGTTTTTAAAAGTATTATTACTGTTTGTGAAACCAAATCCAGTGAGTTAAATGTTCCAACTCTTTCCAGAATGCTCTTCCTGTACTGTCTTACCATTGGTGAAGGTGAAGTTAAACAGGCCAGTATAATATTTTAGATGCCATTTCTGGAAGTTTTTGTATTACTGTGTAGAAATTACTAAGGAGCATATCTCATGCAAAATGAGAATGTGTCAAAGAGAGTCAGGGGAAAATTGGACTATCAATTTCAATTAAAAAAAAGAATATTTGCCTTTACTTGAGTGAAGGGAAAATGGATTTTGAAAGAGTATAACATAACATTTTGCTGAAAAAGCTATTGTAATTGTGAATAAATGATCTCAGTTACAAAGAATTTTTATTCCAAAACAACCCTTATAAATGCAGTGTATGTAAATGTAATTTATTTTTTTAATGGACACATTGTTTCCATTTTTAAGGTTAGATCTCAAAATTATGTGTATTTATTTATCTATTTTCTATAAATACTTTTATAGAAAAGTTATTTGGGGCAAATTATATTCTTGATATAGAGTATTGGCAGTCTTTTTATTGTATATAGGCATTTAAAATTTTTTTAGCAAAGATAATTTTAATATATCATTTCTGTGAAAGCAGTGATTTCAATTAAAAATAAGTATGTCATTATTTATGTATCGATTCCTCAATTTGTCTCCACAAGGATTTGAAACAGAATGTAGCATTATGAATCTGGGAAGCAAGGCATCTCTGTCATTATATAACATTACACCTCAGTAAAAGGGGAGATGTGAGAGCTGTTTAAATGCCATGAGGAGAAGCATAAGAAAAATCAATGCTGAAATGAGTAATTGAATGATGTTTTCAGGGGCTGAGTAGGTCATCATTAGGCATGACACGATTATGATGAAATTTCTAGAGTTATTCGACCTAATGTACATGATATCTAGCAAGACCAGAAATTACATTTACTGTTTTGATTTACATAGTGCTTTAAATAATTAGAATTTAGTCATCAGGCTAATATGATGCAGAGGAAGATGGAATAATCAAACAGTAAGATAATTCAGTGACAATGGTGACCTTGACAATGCTGGCATTTTGTTACTTTCTTGAGAACCTGAGAAAATGCTTCCTCATTGAATGTAAGACTACAGATCTGATAAAATAGAACAAAAAAAAATCAACACAGCCAATAATGATACTTGTAAAATCTTCTGTGTCACATGTTTATGAAAGATGCTTCTACATGGAGAGTGAAATAGGTAACCTTATTTAGTACATGATAACTGGTACAGGAGTCCAGATGAGCATCTTTTTATTTATTAAACATATGCCATGTAACCAAAGCAAGGACTTCCATTAGGGGCTCTCCCCAGTGATGGAACCTCCCTGAAAGCAGATCTTTTTCTCTTCCTTTCTTAGTAATGTTGTCACGTCCAGAGAAGGAAAGGCTGAGCAATGCTGGAGAATACCACAGTTAGGTTCTATGTTGGTCATATTATGTAGCTCTGTAAGTTCAAACCACATTTTCTTAGAAATGGATTCCATTTTTAAATAAAAAGAAAACAAAAATTATAAAGGTTACACTGGTTATACTGAATATTTCTGGTAACTCATACCCTCTCTTAAGACAAGCTAGTCCCTTGATGAATAATGAATAGTGATTAGAAGGGGGAAAAAAACCTGTTCTGTATGGTGGCGAAATATACCTCTCTACAACACTCGTCTCTTTTCCTATTGCTTTCTTAAAGCACTACAGGGAATGTGCTTATCTCTTTTATAGAAACAGTTTCTCATGTATTTGAAGAGAGGTATTACATTCCCAGCCTTCACTTTTTTAGACAAATCAGTCTCACCTTTTTTAACCAACAGAATATTGATTCTAGAGCTCCCACTTACACTAGTGGTCTCTCCTTACATACCCCTTGCTCTAAATATATGCTGACAAGGACTGAAAATGATGTACCAATTGCTTTTCTCCAGGATATCACTTTCTTTTCTCTATGCACTCTGTTCCTATTAGTATTACATTAACAAAAAATAAAAATAAAGTGAGCAATTGGACTCCCTCATTTTATTGTTGATTTACTGAGTTTGCTGCTAACAAAACTCTTTTAATTCCTTTTTATGTGATGTTCATGTGTACTAATTTTCTACAATCTTTTAAGGTCCATTTTTAAAACTTAGATTCTTGCCTTTACATTTAACCCAGAAAATCACTGTAATTTTTTAATGCTAATTCAGTCTTCTAAGAATATTCTCACACACACTCTCTCACTGTCTTACTCTCTATCTCTATCTCTGTCTCCATCTCTCTCAGTCTGGGGCCATCCTTAAATCTGCTTCTGTTGCATGGTCCAGGAAGAAGGTTGGAGCTCTGCAGCCTGCCCCTAGAGACACTCCCAGGACGATCTGGATACACCAAGATGTTCCAACTTAACATTATCAGCCAGCCAGCCAGCATCTTCTTTTCTGCAGGACTATAAGTAAATGCATTATCAAGTACCTGCTAATATTTAGTTACATTTTCTTTATACAGAGCAATTACTTTACCATGAGTTCAAAAATATATTTATCTATCTAAGACCATGAACTTAATTGTTTTAATTGTGCAAAAACTAGTGCAATATATTTCAGAACCTACATTTTTTGGATCAGATTTATCTAAGGTATATAATTCATCCTGTCCCCAAACTCTACACCTAAAGTAATCTTACGAAAGCCTAAAATAAATTATTCTAGAGATGTACTTATATCAGTAAAAGTGGAGATGATATCCTAAAGCATTAGTACTGTGTATCTTCTAGATTCTCCTTTAAGGAGAATCAAAACTTGGATGTAGAAAGCTGTATAAAGGTATAGAAAACGTGGGTAAAATTGTTGCCATCTGATAAAAATGTTTTTCCAGGTAAAGTAACTTAAAAACTTTTTTCCACATTTGGAAGAAATGCTGCCTAAATCAGAATAAATCAACTTCTCTTTGAAATTGACTTGATATAGAAACGTTATTGTGATAATAAATTATAGTTTTCTCCCAGTATATAAGACCTTAAAAAGGAAATTTGGAACTCACAATTCTGTCTCATGTTCAATATTATTTTCTACTGGGCACTGGCCAAAAATTCATTACAGCTTCAACATAGTTAATTTATTTCTACCTACCTCAAGCTATGTTAGAGTAATTAATGGGGGCAGAAAGATTAACTAGAGCAGAAAAATATTATAAAACTGTATATTTTATTTTGATTTTATGTTTGAACCATATTTGTATATTTTATAACTCATATTTCTAAATTATCTACATTTAGAATTTTAGAACGTTATTTTACATTCTGAAATGCAATTCCTGTTGAAAACACTAAGTAAATTCAACATTAAGACAAGTAAAATAAATAGTATTATCCTCTAACATTTTATTATTTGTTATTTGAGCAGTTGCAGTAAAATCACCAGAGAGGAATATGTAGTTGCAACCATCCACTGTATTTTCAAGATGCTCAGCAACCACGAAATGAATTTCACGTCAAGACCATAATGAGAAAAAAGATTCCAGAATAATTTCCTACTTCTTGAATTGAATGTGAATGAACAGAGAAGGCAGATCATTTCTAAAAACAACATCTCATCCAGTGAACTGAATCCTTCCAATCTGCTTATTAGAAGTCACCATTTGAAAAGTGTGCAATCATGTTGACATGTTCAGGCAATTTTTATTTTGAATATAGTCTATTTCTTCCAGACTACAACAACCCCCACAACTAACTTTTCAGTTTTGTCAAATAAGTTGAGTAATAATAGCAACACTCCCAAGTAAACAATCAAGACCTAAGAGTTTTCCTATGAACCTATTACCAGAGGAAATGGTAAGATTTGTGTTATGTCTTTTCCATCTTCCATCGGACCATGTATAATTTTGGCTATTAGCTCTGTGACCATCTGCCAATAACTTCTCTTCTGATAACCCTTTGAATCTTTAAATAAAGAACTTAAATTCTTGTGTTATTCAAAATGTGAGTATTGAACTCAGCACTTTGTGTTCTGGTTAATTATAAATATTGTTGTCTTTCTTGATAGATGAGAATCAAGTTTCCCATGCTCTAAGGACATTTCATTTAACCTTGTTCAACCCCACTTTCTTATTCATAATGTGGGGATAACAATTGCATGCACTACATAGGAATAAAGTGAGTATTGAATCAAACTATGGATTTAAAATGCTTATCAAAGTTCCTGACTTACAGTAAGTACTCAATATATATTTATCATTATTACATGTAAAATAGCTACTGGGCGTGACACACAGTAAATAATCAATAAATTAACATTTAAGCTGTTCTTATTCCTTTTCTCTATATCCCTCCAGTATTTGATTTGTTTTACTTTATGTTAGAGTTTCCTAATATATCAGAGTCCTCTTCTGTGTTCTCCTTCATTTAAAAGAAAAGTTAGGTAAAAAAGTAAGTCAAAAAAAAAGTTAGGTAAAAAATAAGTTTGGAATGGGTGTGATGGCTCATGCCTATAATCCCAGGATTTTGGGAGGCTGAGGCAGGCAGATTACCTGAAGTCAGAAGTTCGAGACCAGCTTGGGCAACTTGTTGAAATCCTGTCTCAACTGAAGTACAAAAAATTAGCTGGGCCTGGTGGTATGCACCTGTAGTCCCAGCTACTCAAGATGCTGAGGCAGGAGCATCACTTGAACCAAGGAACCAGAGGTTGCAGTGAACTGAGATCACACCACTGCACTCCAGCCTGGTTAACAAAGCAAGACTCTGTCTCAAAAAAAAAAAAAAAAAGAAAAAAGAAAAAAGCTGAAGTATACAGGGCAAATTTAAACAGTGTTCTCCACTTCACTAATATGCAAGCATGCACTACAAACCTCAGTAGCAGCTATGAAGCGTTCCTAATGCCTGCTTGATTATACAACCAACTGCCACATCTACCACCTTTCTTTAATACAGTTTTTCCAGTGTTGTCCTATAACTATTATCTACTCAGTTTGTTTATAATGCCTTGAGACATTAGTTGTAGGTTGGTTTATCAAGGGAAGGGACTGGCCCTTTGACTACTTTTTAAAATATTTTCTTAGCACACTATCTAGGGTAGGTGGCACTATGAGGATAATATCTTTATACATTTATCTGGCTTATATACTTAGTGTTGACTGCTGAAGCCATCTCCTTCTCACCTGCTTCTCAAGTTTATTAATGTAGAATTCCCCTAAATATAGAACTCATTGTATTGTTTACAACCTCTCTAAATATGTGTATGGCTCTCTGGCACGGATTTGGTCAGAAAGCAGAAAATCTTGCCCATCAAAAAAACTACTGCTACTCTCCTCTTTATCTCTTCCCATTCTCTAGTCCAGAAGTGTGGACCATCATTGGAATCCTCAATTTGAGGACCATATTTTGTGGAAGGAAATCTAACCTGACAGAAATCCTATGAGGTTTCCTCCAGAAATTTCTAAGTAGGTGATCATCCATCAAGGGTGGGATTGCCTACAACAGTCAGGTTGTTGCCTAATCTCACTAGAGATTTAAGTGGCCCAAAACGATTGCAAATCCCAAATTCCCCTGAAGAACAAGTTAGGGAAGAATCAGAATGAAGTCCCCTAGTCTACAAAAATCTCTTGAGTCACATTTTTTTTTTAATTGTACTTTAAGTTCTGGGGTCATCATTCTATCATAGAGCCACATTTTAAAATATCAGCAAAGTAAGAATTTGGTGTATTAGAACAATAGTACATGTAGTAACAAAAGTAGTATATGAGAGGACATTTGGGGAAAGGTCATTGGGTCACTATTTGTTGTTAGAGCATTTCATAATAAAATGGTCATTACATTTTTATTTGCATTGCAATTAAGGTATACATCCACACATGCACATTGTGTTTACATAGAACTACTGTAGAGAAAATATCCTGAAGAAGGAATTTTTAAATAAATAACTCTGAACCCAAAGATTTTGTTAGCAAAAGCTTTTAAAAGGATTAAATGAATACATAATGAGGGAAGTAAAGAGGTTCTCCTTCAACAACATTCCTATGTTTTATTTGAAATATAAATGCCAAAATAAGTTAGTCTGACATTCAAACTGAAGCATCCACTTGGTGTTCAGATTAAAATTATGATATCCCTAAGTAAGTTTCATAGTGTTCGTTGCCAGTTAGCTTTATACCATTCATCAGCTTCATGTCTCATTGAATCCAGCAACTATTTTTAGGCCTTGATGATTTACATGGCTAGTGCTCAGAAGCAGCACAGGTCTGAAGAAAGGACAACAGCCCTTTACTTTGTAGGAACCATGTTATAATTGAAGATGAGGTTTGCGGGGAAGGAGGAGGTTTTCTGGAGGTGTTATTGCTTGAACAGTTGTTTTTGCACATAATGCCACATACACTCTGGTGACAATTTTGGGCCAAGACAATTTTGGAACCGAATAGTTCATGCTAACACTGCTTTCACCATTTTCTTAATTTTCCATCACAGGCAAACAGCCTCTTAAACACTGTACCTTAAAGACTCTTGACTTCACTAATAAGGGTTTTATCTGTTGTGCAGAGCGGTAGCATCTTTGCTGACTAGCAAGTACAGCTTTTGTTCAGTGTTGTGGCTCAGATTTTACATCTACCAAAAAAAAAATGTGTGGTTTTTATAAATCATTATTATTATTATTATTATTATTAATATTTTTAAAAAGGTGAAAACAGCCAGGCACGGTAGCTCAAGCCTGTAATCCCAGCACTTTGGGAGGCCAAGGCAGGTGGATCACGAGGTCAAGAGATGGAGACCATTCTGGTCAACATGGTGAAACCCCGTCTCTACTAAAAATACAAAAAAAATTAGCTGGGCACGATGGAGCATGCCTGTAATCCCAGCTACTCAGGAGGCTGAGGCAGGAGAATTGCCTGAACCCAGGAGGCAGAGGTTGCGGTGAGCCGAGATTGTGCCATTGCACTCCAGCCTGGGTACAAGAGCAAAACTCTGTCTCAAAAAAAAAAAGGTGAAAACAAACATCCTTCCTTCAAAATTCTCCTTTTCGAAATAAAGCCTGCAAGTCAATGGCAGCAACACCTTAACTTTTAAGGCACCTCGTACAGGATACATCTGTTTGAAGAATCTATTGTCTCAGCTCAAGGACCTTGTGTTCTGTGGACAAGCAAAGAACATTGTGTACCCTGAGCCTTGTTAGGAAATACATTAGGTACCGCTTAATTTGTTTAAACCCTATTTTAACAAGGGAAATCAGGTTAAATTTAGCACTTTACTATAAATTATACTTTCTGTGTACATAGATGAAATTAATTTGGGGTAGGGGCAATGTGAACTAAAATACATATTCTAAAAAGTTTGGGCTGGGCATGGTGGCTTTCGCCTGTAATCCCAGCACTTTGGGAGGCTGAGGCAGGCAGATCACGAGGTCAGGAGATCACAACCATCCCAGCTAACACAGTGAAACCCCGCCTCTAATAAAAATAGAAAAAATTAGCTAGGTGTGGTGGCACACGCCTGTAGTCCTAGCTACTCAGGAGGCTGAGGCAGGAGAATCACTTGAACCCAGGAGGCGGAGGTTGCAGTGGGCCAAGATCACGCCATTGCACTCCAGCCTGGGTGACAGGGCAAGACTCTGTCTCAAAAAAAAAAAAAAGTTTGCAAATTCTGTTTTTGATCATTTAAAAGAGGAATACAGGGATGCATTAAGCCTTTCATCTGAAAGACAAAAAATAAAGGAACTAATATTAACATCTACTATGTGTCAAAATAAATCTTTCCTGTATTCAAGTCTCCCTTTCCAATTATCTTACTGAACTGACTGGTAAGATTTCTACCTTTGTTCTGGAATGTGTCAGAATCTTAGGGAATCTAGAACAATAAGAATATATCTATAAATCTATGTGCCCATAAAAAACATAAAGAAATACACAACTTTATATATGTATAATGTTCTACAGGGGCTAAATGCAACATAAAATATTCTTCTGGTAAAATTGTTATTCTAAACTATGTCAGCTTTTTTAAAGTTTATTTTACTTTTTATTTTGAAATAGTGTAAAACTTTACATAAATGTTGCAAGAGTGGTAGCTGACTCTCATTATCCTCGGTGTCCTCCCTGATTTGCTCAGCCCCATGCAGGGCTCATGCTAACACTGCTTTTACCATCTTCTTAATTTTCAGTCAGAGACAAACACTCACTTAAACACAGTAGCCTAAAGACTCTTTTGACTTCCCTATATATAAGTGTTTTGTCTGTTGTGCAGAGCAGTAGCATCTTTGCTGACTAGCAAGTACCTCTTGTACTTACCAACACAGCCCCAGTACTAGCCACATCCTTGGCTCCTCCTCGTGAATGCACTGGCTACACTGACTGTATCCTTGACCCAGATCAAGGGGAAGTAGAAAGGACCACACTACCTTTTTAAAATATCATTTGAATTATATTGAGGAATGCCAGGCATGTCCAGATGTGCTCTAGCTGAGTCTTCTGCTTCAAGACAAGGTTGTGCATCTCCATTTCCAACATTTCCCCTTTCCTTGTAAAGTTCTAAGGAAAAAAGTCCACATCAGAATTTATACAGAATACCAGCTCTACATTACTTTTCAAATGAAGCACGAAGAAGTTTGTAAAGTTTTAAATTTCATGGCAAATTCTATTTCTAGTTTTCTCTCACAATCAGCAACTATAGCAAACACTGAGTGGAGGAGGGAAACATGAGGGAAAATCCATTTCTCTCCTGCAATTAGAGGAAATAAACTCTATGGAATATTCTGCTTTATTGAATTGGATCTGAATCATCAAATGAAATACATTTTATCTACTATATCTGGCTTATTTATAGAATATGGTTTATTACATTATGCAGTAACTGGAAGGTATTGTGTGAGTCATTTAACTACTCACCAAGGTTCATTTAGTAAGAGGCCACCTCTGTTGCTCTATATGGTATGATAGAGACTTAAAAAAGAAGAATAAATTTTGCAACTATTATCAGTATTAGTTATAATGCCCCTTTGTTGTGCTAGGAGAAGATTTTTTTTATAGAAAAACAAAAGAAGCCAGTGACCTAAGAGCTAAACAATTTGTCTAATGTCTCAGCAAGATTGAGCAGCAGAAGATGAAGGTCTTGGGGATCTCTTCCAGTTCACAAACCAGTGGAACCCATTGTTCTCATAAATGCATGTAACTGACAAGAGGCTGCCTACTTCCCCCAGCACACAGAAATACACTAGTTAAATGCCTTTCTGGGTGAAAAAATGTCTCTAGGATACAGACTATTTTCTTACCCTCCTATGCTACAGGGAACAATTGGATTAAGTAAGACACCTTAGTAATCAGAGAAACCTGACAAGAATTAGGGAAAAGAGCTACCAGCTTAACATTTGTTCTTGAATGCAGAGGGATGAAATAGTGTTCAGATGCTCAGAAACTGTATCCCAAATGTAAAAAGTGATGTTTTTCCCCAAATAAAGTCATTTGATAAACACATGTACTTGTAAAACAGCCCACTCCAAACCACGTACTGCAGTGAAAAGAGGGTTGAAGATATCTTTTATTTGATGAACCATATGCACATCTTAGTATATGCTCACAACCTCATTACATATATAGAAACCCTTTGAAACAAACCAAACATGGTCACAAACTTTTTGAGCCTATTTTGGGAAATAGAACTACTGGGCAAGTTAAGCTTCAGGCCACAGACCAACCACAAGAGCCACAAGTATGGCTGAATGGACAAATTTGGAAACCCATAGTGCTGAGCCTGAGCTGTTCCTCAAAGGCTGGAGGCAGAGAAGTGAGCAATTACTCAGGGAATTACTGTATTTGTCCATATATGGCATATCTGAAAGTTGAAGCTGCAAAATTGTCATGGAGTTTTGTTCTATAGCCTAATCTCACCCATGGTTAAAGATCACTAGTATAAAATTCTGCTGGCTAGGTGGAACAATCAGAGTTTAGCTCTGCATATACAGATCTAGATACTTATAAATGTAGATATAGACAGATGATATAGATGCAGATATAGAAAGATAAAGATATAGCTGCCTATGGTGACTCACACCGGTAATCCCAACAACTCAGGAGGCTGAGGAAGGAGGATCACTTGAGCCCAGACATTCAAGACAAGACAACATAGTGTGACACCCCATCTCTAAAAAAATCTAAAAAATAAACAAATTAACTGGCTGTGGTGGCACACACCTGTAGCCCCACCTGCTTGGGAGCTGAGGTGGGAGGATCACTTGAACTTAGGAGTTTGAGACTGCAGTAAGCCATGATTGCACCACTGCACTCTAGTCTGGTTGACACAGTGACCTTGTTTCTAAAAAATAATTTGGGGATAAAAAATATATAATGTATATATATACACACACACACATATGCACATATATAATGTACATATTTCTAAATAGGGTATTAATTCTAGAACTGTACCAATAATGCCCAAGCATTTTTAAATGTTTCAGAGTAGATTTTCTTTAACTGGTGTTGAGTATCTCTGTGAGTATAAGGATATATTCTTGGGGAATTCAAGGAGTCTCAGTTTTTTTCAATGTTAGGGTTTTATTACTGTGATAACCTTTAAAAACTTCATACAGAATATTCTGGATCATCTAGATTGCTTTGGTAACCTTTAAAAAACTTAATAGAGAATATTCTGGATTGTCTGGAGGATCCCAAACTACCATTTGATTTGTGCTTACAAATTGATGCCACATAGTATTTCTGAAAGGGGAAAACAATGGCTTTAATATATAAACCATGCATTCACCCCCAAATGAAGGCCAAATGCTGTCATGATTTACTGTACAAAAGAAATTTTCACAGCAGTTCCCAAAGGGCAAATTGGGGTGAACTGAATCATCACATAACGGGGTGATACAGACCTAGCAGTCTCTGCCATAGGAAAGTCAGTAAAGGCAGCTCTTTGTGCCAGAGTCTCTTGCTCCATTTCTGTAACATACTTGGAACATGCACTAAGGGTAGAGGGAATCCGGAAACGATCACCAGTGTCACCATCTTGTAGGACGTGTTTTCCAGAAGGCTCTAGCAAAGCACATTTTTGTGTAATGGGGGCATAAAAAGAACCTCACCTTTAAGAACAGTACAAAATTGTAAAATAGCAAATTGGGGTAGAAATAGCTAAAATGAAAGAAATATCCTTGACAGAGACTTTGTAATGCAAATTAGATCTCTATTTAAAAATTCAATGTGTAGCAATTATAAATCAAAAGACTGAGAACATTCTGAAAGTGTATATTCCATTCTTTCTATTCCACTCAATAAGTAAATTGTGAGTGCCAGTTGTACCAAATAGTGAAACACAGTTCCTACCCTTAGGGTATTTACGTTTTAAGAAAACAGACACACCTAAAGAGATAATTTTTGTATAATTTGGGTGCAGTGGGAGATAGAGAAGAACACTTTTGCAGCCTCATACAAAAGTAGGGACAAATAATCATGGAGCAAAGGAGGCCCACAACGAAGCACATCAGAATGAGAACTAGCAGTGGAGTCGCAGAATGCAAGTGATGAGAGATGAGTAACACCAAAATCCGCAGTAGAGATACTATCCTAGTACAACGGGGTTGGTCCTTTTGTTAAACACCAGCACACACTATGCAGGTATGTCATCTTAGATCACTGCATTTTCTTGGTACATTGTACTTAATTCACTTTGAGCTGCATTTTTTTTTCATTTCATTTTTAAATACTTTTTAATGGGTAATAATTCAAAATTCAAAAAAGCATAAAAGGATATAAACTTTAAAAGTCTTATTCTCACTCCTGCCCTGTCTATCCCATTTTCTTCCTCAATTTCTTTTATAGGCTTCCAAGTATATTCAGTGTACATACGTAATCAATTACTTGTTTTCTCCTCCTCTTTCAAATGTACCATATCATACAACTGTTCTATGCCATGTGTTAACATAAAAATCTTCAACGTTCTTTTTTGTGTCTCTATAGTAGTCCCTTGCACAACTGTGCCATAATTGATTTAACCAGTCCTGTTATTGGACATTTAAACTATTGGCAGGGTGAGCTGCATTTTTTTTAACTCATCCCGTTGTTCTCAGAAAGCCACAAAGTACATCAGTGACTGCTTTCTTTTAAGTAGTGTCAAATAATTCTAGTATCCTGCAGTGCTTCTAGTTATCCCAAAAGACACTGCAAAATCCTAAACACAATTTTCATTTATTTCAAGATTCAAGAAAAAAGGAACAGTATTTGTGTAGGAAAATTATTTTTAATCCAAGGTGCCCCTTATGTCTTTAAAAGGGATGAAGAGTGCCTTATAAAACTAGCCCAAGAATCAGAACAACTCAGAATGGAATTGTGGTAAACCTGTGGTTTGGCTAGTTATTGGCATAGCCCAGACATATTTCTTAGGAGCCCCACTTAAGGTTTCGTTTTAATGTAAGTGTAACTTATAAGTAACGAGAGCTAAAGCGTCTTCTTTCACTGCTGCTTTGAGGTCCATGTCACAAATCAGCCAGAAAGATGGGTCCAGTGGGTCCATAAAACCTGTGGTAGTTGCATGCTCAGCCTTCAGTAGTGAGCCTACAGATCAGGAAAGCAAGTGGCAAACTTCAAAATGTTACAAGCTTCAAAGTAAATTCAAAGTAATGGGATCATGAGCTAGAAGTACGCTAAGAATCTGAATTTCAGTAGCTAGGAGTCTGGCATCAGGTTCCATATGTTGGAAACTGTGACTTTACTAGTAATAGTAACTTTTCTTTCCAGTCCCACCCAAATGCAAAGGATTCTGTTGTAATTTAGATATAGAGACTCTTAGAAATCCAGAGAAGAAGATACATATGTAACAGATAACGTTCGGTTTTAGTTGCAGTTTATGTTGGTGTTGGGCAGGAATTCTGCCTTCTGGAATGCTATTCAAACCAAACCCCAGACCCTTGGAGAGTGTTCTGCTTTATTTATTGTTCTGCAATATCGCCTGCCTTTTCCCAGTGTTCTTTGAGCTTAGGAAATATTTTTGTGTGTCCATTTTTTGCAGCATAGCTGCTGATTTCAGTGGAAAACGAATGGTGGAGTATTTATTCATGTATACAGTTGTTCTTTTCTTTTTGCATTCTTTAAGAATAAAATCTTATAACTTCATCCCCCCAGGTAGTGATAGAAGCCAGGCAGAGATTATTTAAAGGAAAAAATGAGATTAATATTTCAGTTTGAATGTCAAAAGCAGAGGGAACTTGGGCAGTATAAAAGGGTTATGAATTCACAGGCAATATAATCTGTAGTGTTTTATCTTCATATAGAACTAAAAAAAAAAAGATTTGGAACTCATTTTTTAGCCTGAAATATATATGTAACTTACTATAAAGTCAACTGTTTAAAAGAAAATTAAATATTCTATCAGGTACTTTACTTTTTTGTATTTCATTCATCTCACCTCTTTCTTGAAATCTCATTTCATAAGCATGTTTTATTAATGATCTATTAATAAGCATTCACTTAAAACATGACTGATTAAAAAGTAGACCTGATTTTAAGTAAGTGTCTTGAAAATGTTTCATTTATTG